GGCTTATAGCTTTATGAGATTTGAGCGTTGGACTGTAAAAAAGTACTAATTGGAAGTTCCTATATAGCAGGTGTTGCCCGTTTCTTTCTAAGAAAGAAAATCAAATCAAAATAACTTTTATGCAAATTAATTTTTTCTCTTTTCTCTAGCAAATGATAGCAACGAGGACCGTTATCGGAAAACTCGTCGATAATCTTCACAATCTTCACCAATAACAGAGTATTCGATTAGCATTCTTTTGAGGAACATCTTTTAATTAAGTCCTCCATGTGAAATTTTGAGAGGTGTGACGTTTAAGGCACCATCCATATAAATCCGAGGTTAATGAGATTTTTATGCAGTACATTTGCGAGGCTCTTATCTAACAAGAAAAGGATACACTGACCTGGCATATCCAAAAATGATGCACATCACTAGACGCGTTCTTAAAACTGATTTTGAGTTTCCATTCGCTTTTGAAGAACAACTTTTCGAAAAATATAAGGTATAAGGGTTTGTACGTCCACATTTGTCGAGCCTAAAGCGAACTGAAATCGGCGTACAAAAACAACTACGCGGATTTCTACCAGGTTTGTTCCTTTCTTGTCAATGTACTTGATACAAAGTTGTTCCTCACATCCAGGCCGTTAGTAATCTGGCCGAAACTCCGAGTTTAGAGCTGTGCGTTAACTCAGAGTTAACTCCAGTTTCGTTTTGAAACTCGCTCAGAGTTAACTCTGAGTTTCGTCTCTCAAAGTCGGAGTTTCGTCCTGCTACTTGTGGTAGTCGTTATAGTTGTTGAGGGGCCGCCACACGGTTCATCGCAAAACACCGCGACTAGCTCAGGAATCGAACTTCCGTTGCTCAGCGCGAAGCGCCTACCGCTAGACCACAAAGCTACGGAGCCACTGTTGCGTTGTTGCTGCTAGGGCTTATTAGATCCCGGTAATCAAGATCTCACATGTAAAGACAAATGGAGAGGCGTTAGGTTGCCTGTGAGTTGCCTGGCCATAAAGTATCCTAAAGGTTCTTAAAAGTGGGCATAGGCCGTAATCCAACGACCCGCCCCCTCCTCTCTCACCCTATTTTGATATGCTATTATACTTGATAAAATTCTAAAGTTCTGTTAGTCTACAAGTTTTTTCGAATGATCTATATCTATAATTTGTAATATCGATATTGACCATAATTTTTGAAGAATAGACTTTAAGTAATAAACAAAGTCTAGAGGTCATTTGAAAATCGAGTTAGAATTTCAAAGGACCAAATGATATAACAAATTCCAAATAATTTTTTGAGGTTTCTGTCAGCAAGACCATGAAAATTTTAGAAGATAAAATTGAAAAATACTACCCAATGTCATTGGTTCTTTGCTTTGAAAAGTCTAACTAAATATGAGATTTTTGCCTCGCGACCCATTCTCGGGGGGGAGGCCTCGGTTTGCCACGGGTATCTAACAGTGGCGGAGCGAGAGGGCGGCGGGAGGGAGGGGGAAAGGGGGAATTTTTGAAATTTACTTTCGTGGGTGATAGAAACGTGCAAGTCCTTGTAAACAATTAGTAATTTTGAAAATTTTTGAAAAATTCAAATTAGCCTTGTAAAAAATTTTTTGGGGGCGTGAATGCCGCCACTCCCCTTTTTCTAAATTTTATGGGTTCTGAGCCAGCAAAAATTCTGAGAAGCACCGCAAAAAAATTTCGGAGTGTGTGGCTGACGTCACGCACCCTTATTTGATTTTTCTCGTCGCTCCTCTCTCCCCTTCCTCCCCCCCCCCAGACGGAAGACTGCGTCCGCCACTGCTATCTAACAATACCTATTTAGCAAACAAACTTCTAAGCAAGATATTTTGATCCATCTACCGTAAATCGCCGAAACCCCTCCATATTTCCATGCGGCTATGATATTCGTGATTGATGTGTGGAATTGCCCCACCAAGTCAAGTTTCGTTGCATTTTGTGATTTTGGCTAATCACCGTATCTCTACCGTAACCCCGCTGACAATGCTGCAGTGAAAAATGGACCATGTGATAGTAGGCAACACAATGCATAATGTTAGTGAGCCAGCCAATTTTAAGTCTATCATATCTCTGACTTGATCAACAATTTCTAACCGTAACCCTGGGCCCGTAGTAAAGCTTGATCAGTTGAGGTGAACTCAACTTATCCCATCAATTAAGCTTAGGTGAGGTGAACTGATGACCGTCCACCTTCCTATGCTATAAGATGGTCAAGTCAACTGATAGTTGGCCATCTGTCCACCTGCTGCAGTCAACTCTTCCACATCAGTTCACGTTCAAGTCACCTCAACGTGAACGGATGTTAGAGTGATCCAAATAGTGTGTAGAAGAGGAGACGCAGACAAGAGGTGACTGCATCTAACATAAGTTGCTCCTGAGTAACTTACGATACACACAGCTTTGCATGCAGAAAAAAATCGGCGCAAAACTGCACAACCGCGCCCGAAAAGGAGATCGATGAACAGCTGATTTTGGCGAGGAAAACAAAAAAAAACAAATTCTTTTCTTTTTTGTAAATCTTACTGATTTTTTTCTCACTGGCTGTACAAGACGAAAACTCATTTATTCATTTCATTGAATACACGCTACTATCATTTCGTTTTTTCATAAAATTTTCGTCACAAATTGTGTTTTTGTTTTATCCGTGTATTTGCTTGGCGAAGTCCTTGATAGCGATCATCATCGATTGCCGTAGTGGCCGCTATCAAAGATTGCCCGGCGATGCATCTAAAAGCGAGTTGGTAGACAGAGTCGAACCACGGCCGCGCGCGTGTAATTCTAATCGCTTACCCGTTTGACCAAACCAGCTCGAGTGCTTCTTTTTCACATTACAGTACACATTTGATTGCAATGCCTCGGCAATGATCCGCATCCAAATCAATAGCTCGCCGTATGCTGGACTGAGGCGCGATGACCTCAACTCCGGTCCGCGTCGAGAGAGATGCCTTGATGGGGGGTTTACTACGGGCCCTGCTTTCTCTCAGCGGTAAAAATGAGTATCATATCCGCAATCAGCGCACCGAATAATTCCGCTAGACCAAGTTTCAATCAATTCCGTGACGTTTTCCTATCTACAACAAGCTTACCGTAACCTCGCCAAATGGACCCGCAGTTCAGATTGGACACAATAATCGTGATCAGCATCTTATATATAAAGCTGAATGTCTGTTTGTCTGTCTGTCTGTATGTCTGTGTGTACGTATGCTCCGAATAGAAAATTCCATTTCTGAACCGATCTGGACCAAACTTGGCACACATACACATCGAGCCCCGGCGGGTGTCATAGGCCACTTTTCGTCATCGATCGATGTCGATTTTATCGATTTTTTGCAAAATTTGAGCTACAGAGCTGGGAGTTGGCACAGGGGGGTAATCGAGCATGCTGATTACGAATATAATAATGACAGGGCCGGGCGGAGCCGGGTAAGTCAACTAGTGCCCAATAACCCCACCGGGCCATGTTTCGGACAACTGCTTGATTTCCGACCAAATACCATATACCTACGGTAACCCTGCTAAATGGACCCGCAGTCACAAGTGAATGTCATATTTGTGATCAGCGTGCCAAACTACCCCATTTCAGCAAGTTTCGAACAATTTTGTGATTTTCGCCCACATACCGTATCACTACCATAATCCCTTTATGGCCCCGTAGCGAAAAATGACTATCATATTTATGATCAGATTGCCAAACAACCCCCACTGTACCAAGTTTCAGACAATTTCGTGATTTTCGCCCAACTACCGTATTCCTACCGTAACTTCGTTATGTGGGCGAATGGCGAAAATGAGTATGACATTCACTGATAATGAGCATCAGATTCGTAATCAGCACATCCGATAACCCTCGGAACCAAAATTTTACAAAATTTCAAGTTTTTGTGCTCATCGGTGCATGATACCCCATCGCGCTTGATGAAACTCGGAGCAAAATCTACCCCGGAAAACTTTTTTGCTGCAGCTCTTCATCTGCACACTATTTCTCTTTCTCTAACCAAACTCAGAGTTAACTCCAAGTTTCACGGGCGCCTGAAACGCGCACCATACTCAGAGTCAACGCGCAGCTGAGCTGCGCGTTTCGTCGCGTAGCCTCTCGCGTGGAACGAGTTACGCTACGTTTCCATACCTGGCATAAAATACGTATCGCGGGGTATCCTGCCATGTTATCCTTTTCCCAATTTGGTTTGTTTATGCAGGTGTTAATGGTCCCTAAAAGATGCGTGTTGACTCAGAGTTAAGTCTGAGTTCACTCTGAGTTTGCTGCGCGTTTTGACATGTTTACTACCGACCCTATGTTCTAAACAGCTTTTCGCTAATTATTTGCCACCTGAAGCTTGAACTTGGACATTCAAACATAATTTTTTCATAAAATTGTGCAAAGAGAAAGGCAGGTTTGTAATCAACTTTCAATGTTGCTTCTGGTTATATGTCTCTTTTCGATACTAGATCAAACTGGTATCAACCCCTCATAAATTGCTAAATTCCCGCAGTGAAGTGAGCACATGAAGCTTAAATTTGCTAGGGTCGCCACGCCCCTCAAAAGATTATCTAAGCTTATGACTTCGTAACTGACTTCAAAATACCCGAATGTCGAAGACAAGTTTTTTGAAAATTTAAAGCGCATTTTCGACATTCCTAGGTTTTACTCAGTCAATTTTCAGGCTTAATATCGTAAAACAATTCGCGTTGATAAGGTGGCCGCACCCATCCTGGAGCGCGATTGCTTGGCTTCAAGTTATCACTTTTGCAGCAGGACTGGAGCAGTAACATAGTGAAATGCCACGCTATTACTCACATCAAGCTACATTGGCTCGACAGAATGGACGCTTTTGAATGAAGTTAAAATTACTAATGAATTTGATGAAGCAGTTTGTGTTCACACCCTTCTCAGAAATTTCTCTAATACCCCGCTTTGATAAAAAGCCATTCCGACTTTTACAATATAGTTCGGTACTTACTTGTGTCTACATCGCATTCTAAAACCTTTACACACTATGGAAAAAGGCGGAATGCTGCAAAGTTTATTCAAGTCTCGTTTTTCAATACTGTCTTCTTTAAGTCATTATGCATAGTCCGTCAGCTGGATTGCAAGTTCCGGGACATCCATTACATACATATCCAATTCGATATATTGGTTGATTCAGAATGTTTCCACTAAGAAAAGTTACGATATCAAATTTGATACGCAATTCGCGTAAGAGAAGGAAGACACTGCACAAACTTACGCAGGGCTATAGCGGCAAACAACGAAGCACTTTCCAGAGCAATCAACAACAGCGCATCCTATTTTGTTGGTATTTGCCCAGGCCATCTGAACATATGTAAATTGTTTCACATTCCACGGTGCGGTAGTGAACCAACCTGAGTGAAGGCTGTCTGATCTATGCCTTTCTTTGCTTGTTTATCTCTCAGGTTCTCTGAGAATATCAATTGCCTGTTGATTCCATCCTTGAAGATTTGCGTCCACCAACTAATGGCAACCTATCAAGAAAGCATGACTCGCAGTAAATATGCACAAACGACTTCTAGATTAAACTAGGTAATTTGCTCCTACTAGGTAATCTGTTCCCCATGTGAAAGTATTGACTTACAAAAAATACATCCAAATAGGAATATTCATGCAATTTTCAATCACATCTTTGGTGTTCTTTGACAACAAAAGACACCAAAGATAAAAAAATCCAGATAGAAGAACCACCCAAACTCGCGATTTTCGAAAATAAATCGTTAAGAGTGTGAAACGCTGCAGAGAAATTTGTGAGCATGTTTCTTGGGAATGGTCAGAAGTCGAAGTGGCAAATCCATACAAGCTGCATACCATTCGATGCAGCATAGAGCTCTGATTTCAAATCTGTCTCCCATATCTGCAGAGCGCCTTTGTAGGCAAAGTTATGAGCAGCTTTATTGCGAAAAAGTCGTACAGAAAAATTGCGAAATTAGACACATTATTGCTCTTTTATCTCATCTCTAGTGTCTCAGTGTCTCAGTCTCCAAAACGTGCAACCAGGTCACTTCATATGCCCGTACAAACAGGGCATATGAAGTGACCTGGTTGCACGTTTTGGTCTAACACTGAGCCGAGAATGGCTTTGTGCGGCCAAGTTTGCCCTTTACCCGCACAATTTCGCAGCAAAATAATGGCTTTTAGCGGTTTATAATTTTGTCCACAAAAGTGTTTGCAGATAAAGAAGACAGATTTAGAGTCAGCGTTTTATGCTGCATCTAATGGCATGCAGTTTCCTTAAATTGGCCACTTCGATTTCTGGACATTCCCTTGCTAGAGGTTTTGTGAGCTGCTCTTACTAATGGTGCCAACTTGCGCTGATCAAGCCTTCCTAGGAGAAGTTATTGTTTTCGTGAAAAATCAAAAAACAGCAAATGACGTTTCCTGCATTAACGTCGCATCTTGACGATTTATTTTCGAAAATCAGGAATTTAAGAGTGGTTTTCCTTTCGAATATTTCTGAAGTCTTTTGTCATCAAAAAGCATCAAGGATGTGGTTAAAAATTAGATGAATTTTCCTATTTAGAGGTATTTTTTGTAAGTCATTACTTTCACATAAGGAGCAGTTACGAATTTTTCAAAACCAAAGCGAAAGAACTTTTGAATCAACCTAATACATCCGCAATCATTCCAGGAAGGAATTGATGGTTGCTCACTATACATTAGGTGTTTAAAAGCATTCTGGTCAACAGCAACTTCATGTCGTCTCATAATGGCAAGGGTCTCCGCACAGCATTTGCAAGAGTGTCATTTAATAGTATTCCCATTTTGAGTGGGGAAAAGGCTAAGTGAGCTTCACTCTTTAAATAGGCGTGGAAAATGAATGAGGATCACGAGTTGGGAGTTTTGCTCGAAACGAACGCTGCCAATAAGAGATAACGTACAAGCCGCATTCTTATTTCTTTGAACGCAAACAGTCCAAAGGACCAGGAAGCACTGATTGAGAACACTGTAGGTGAAAGCGAGGTTCCGCAAGGCGCAAGCTTAGTGTGTTTACTTGCGTTTAGAGCAAACTGGGTGCAATTTGTACGCCCGAAAAAACTATTGAAAAAAATAGTGTAAGGTTTGCGCATACAGAACTAACGATGACCAAAGCCTAATATTGTCCTAGGATGCAGCTTCGCTTCAGCTAACGCTTCTGCGTTAATGCATCTTGCTAAAACATGGATACTGAACTTACAATATCAAATAGTTGAACTGGATCCGTAATCACTGTGTCATGCACATAAACGTTTTCACCCATTCCTGATCTTGTTGACTCGTTTGATTTTTTCAATGAGCACCCTTTGGCGTGTTCTATGGCTTGCGCTTCAAGGTTCATGTTATAATCCTGAAATCTTTCTCGCAAAACTCTTACGTTGACATCTTCAAAATTAACTACGATGACACAATTTTGAAATGTTTTTTGAAGAAATGAAGTTTATGCATACCATTTTTGACATAAATGCAGCCGTTGGTAAATTAGCATTGCTCGGATTTTTACCATTTCTTATTTGACCTGTTGCGAGCAAAGTTCTGAAAAGGAACTATAACATCACAACCATACTTATATAATGTAACCGTAGAACACAAGAAGAATTATTTAAGAACGTGGGAAGACGCTCACCTCCTATAATTATGTGTCTTCACCACTTTGTTCCTTCCTGCAGCCGTCATGTAACCATTGTCTGAGTTTATATCAGCAGTAGTTGTCGCACTGGTTGGAGTCACGTCCGTCGTTGTTGTCTCACTGGTTGAAATCACGTCCGTCGTTGTTGTCTCACTGGTTGAAGTCACGTCCGTCATTGTTGTCTCACTGGTTGAAGTCACGCTCGTCGTTGTTGTCTCACTGGTTGAAGTCACGTCCGTCGTTGTTGTCTCACTGGTTGGAGTCAGTTCCGACTCTAAAAGAGAAGCGATTTTATTGAAGAGTGGAAAGGGTTTTTCGTGCACTAAAGGAGGAAAGGAAAATCAAGCAATTGGTCAAAAATCTAATCTCTCTAATCCCTCCGCAAACCAATTTTTTGGTATTCTCGACAATTTCAACTTTTTGGAACGTAGAATTTAGCGCGAGAGGCTTCCCAAATGGAGTAGCCTAGCTTTATGTGAATAAACCGCGCCCTGATTAGTGCAGACGTAAACATGCTCTTGAGACCTTTCACCGTGGGTTTTGCAAGCGAGGAGAATAATGCCTGAGACGCCTTAAAACCTAGAGCAAGCTAATGAACTATTGAGACGTAAGATTTCGCCAATTTTTTAGGACATTCGACTTTATCTTAATGGAATTTGTGTTTGCGGTAATATCAAATGGTTTTTTTCGCCATGTTTTGCACCTGCCTGTACTCGCTAACCGTGATCTGGCTCATCTTGCACGTGTAGAAGAAATCAGTAGAATAAATATATTATCACGCCCAGAAAACAAGTAAGAAAACTTTTTCGTCAATTTTATTATATTGAAATCTCAAAGGTTATTGCAGTAAGTGATCCAACACAATTCAATCGTTTTATGTTGATGACTTTAAAGCCAAGTCTATAACACGGACGTACTATAGTCAAAAAACTCTCCCACTAAATGCTTCGTGAAGACGCGCAATTGATGGTAACAAATATCTTTGTATATAATCGAATACTAACCGTCTGGATGAAGTCACGAAAGCTTTATTTAAATACGTTATGCTATCATGCACTCTAATCGCAGCTACAAATTTAGGTCCCTTCATATAGGTCTCGCATATTCTGTCCCATTTTTAAAGTAAGCAAATTGATATCTATGCAAATCGGAATAGAAAGATTCATTGTCTTTTCAGGGCCGCTGCATCAACATCGCTGGGTTGGGAAACGCAGCTCAGAAAAAAGTTTCATATCCCAGAGTTCCAGTGTCCTGGATTTCACATCTAACTATCCGCAAGCGTTTCTACTGCTCTTTACTATGAGACTATGAGACCATATTAAACATGATGGAAAAGCAGTCCAGATGCCTTACCCAGATGATCCCCGGCTGCCATGTCTTTTCTTGAAAATTGAAAACTGTACTGATTATCTAAACTAACAGTGCTAAGCATGTTTTTGAGGAGGAGATAAATGATGCATCGAATTCATGAAATATACTGTGAACCAGTAACCAAATGTGAGCTTGTCGAGATTCTCGATATTCCAATAGCTCCTTTATTCTTATCTGCAAAATGCTTAGCACTATTGGCAGATAAACAGCACAACTTTGAAACGCTTTCATTGACATTGAGGGAAGAGAATTATCGAAAAGAAAAGACTCTAGGCCGCCGGGAATAATCAGCACGACATACAAAAAGCTGGAAGATGTGGCTTGTACAGCTTCTCGCTTAAAAACGTTTGTGAATGGTTAGACTGCGTAAAATTTACAACACTGGACCTTTAGGATAGGAGGCTCCATTTGCTCGGTTCCCAATCAATGGGATATTAATGCAGCATCACTATGCGGCTCGTATGATGCAGCGGCGAAAGGGAACAATTCTTCATCTATTTAAAAGCCGGCCTGCCATGCCCAGGTAGGGCTACAAAAGCAGAGTAAAGTTCTAGCTAGAGAGTCTAAGGTCGTTGCAATCTATAACAAGATGCGTGTCATTAGATTCGCCTCGTTGAGGTGAATCCAAATCTAACTTCTATATCTACTGAGCATTTCCAACAGAAGTTATGAGCGTTTGGAGTCCAAATTTCGCATATCCCCAATGCCACAACTTCGAGTTGTTGTTCAAAAACGGTTATCTATGTTTTCGATGTTTGTGTATAATCTTTCAAGTCAGTACATTTCACACCAAGCAGATTTTCATAGCACATCATGCATCAAATTCTTATAAATTTCGTAATTTTGATCGCTTATAACTTCTTCCAGAGAAAAGCGGCGAATAGGTAAAGTTTAGTTAAGTCGATTTTCCGCTCAATATAGTTGCTTGGATTGCAGATAAAATGAGGTAAGATTTGCGCCCGAACAAATAGCCACGCTAGTAATGTGCAGTCGTCACAAACGTAGCTATTCTTTCACACGCAAAGTTCACCGCATTTTCCTGCAGTGCAAGCGCACTATATTGAGCGGTAATTCTACTCGACTGCAGGACTAGAATTAGCTGAGACGAATCTGATGAGGTGCACTTTGTTCCATATTACCACCCGGGGAAACTTACAAACGGAGACTCCGACAAATAGAGGAGATAAAAGGAGGTACTGCTTTAACCATCAGTCAATGACAATCAATATAACTTATATTTTCTGCAATTAGAAAAGATTATTCAATAAAACGCTTCACCCTAGCGGCGCTAGACTTATTCCGTTGGCCGCTTAGTCGTTTTGTTATTGGTCCAGTCAGTGAACTGACCAGAAGTGAGGCGGCTAGCGGATAAGTCTTGCGCCTCTTTTGAATTTTTAATTTTTTTTAGTAATTAAAGAGACTTTCAAGAAGATTTTTCTTCTTGGTTTGTTAAGTGTGGTTGTAATAAATTCAAGGAATGTAAAACAGAACATTTTTCTCTCTTCAATCCATTTGATGAATCTATTGAATACTGTAAATCATGCACATCTTATTTATTTTGAATGCTGACAGAATCAATGCTTTGCTACTTTCACTCATGAGAGGGTTCTGAAGTTGCTGTTCTATGACCTTTCGTAAAGTTTAGGGTAACAAAAAATGGTTTTAATATTTTTTGAGGCAAATTCTGCGTCTTTCTTGAAACTACATGTACCCTAAAATCCTGCAAATAAGTCTGCCATCAGATAAGTCCGCCTACAGATAAGTCGGCTTGCAGATAAGTCCGCTTCTTTTCTCAAATGAAAAACAGAAGGGTGCGCAATTGCGCTGCCTTTTTTGGTCTCAAAATGAATCAAGCAACAGATCTTTATTCAGTTTCCATTCCATGTTCATATTCCTCAGAAACGTGGCTGACCGACGTGGTTCTTCGTCTAACGACTAAATTCTTTCTCTTCATAAATGATTTGCACCGCGACTCCGATGCCTTGATGCCCTGCCGGCCAGATTCCTGCGTTAGCAACACTTTTGCTCGTATTTTTCGACAAGCGCTGCTCTGCTTGCCTCTCGGCTCTGCACATTCCACGAATAGACAACTTGGTCGATCTCCTCCACTTTCTGCTTCCCAAAACGGTTGGCACGCTTCCTCAGCGGCACATCCTCCAAATTTTCCTTATCTGCCTTCCATCTTCGAATCACAGGTTCAGAGACTTCTCAATGAACAGCTGCAGCTGAAGTTCCATGTTCCAAGGCATACTGTACCGCGTTAAGCTTGAAAATCGAAAAGCGGTCGCGCGCGTCTGCGCTCCTAGGTCGCGCTTGCTCATGCTCAAGGCAGGCGCACTGATGGACTGGCGGACTTATCTGATGGCGGACTTATCTGCAGGCGGACTTATCTGTAGGCGGACTTATCTGATGGCGGAGTTGTCTGCGAGACATTTGGCTGCGCGAAGTCGATTTTTCATCGATTTTTGCGTCAAAAAGGCGGAATAATCTGCGCGATTTTAGGGTAGTCCGAGAACAAGACAACGAAAACGAAGACATGTGAAAGCAAAAATTAGTGTAGATTAACATTAAACTTTGTAGAGCAGCTACGCTTGGTTTGGCTTTCGGTTCTGAGAGTGAAATATTGTAAGAAGAGTATGGAATTCTTATGAAAACGAGTTAGGCAGGTAATTGTTTTCGTATCTCTCTGCTTAGAACCGCTAGAGAAATGGATGGCTTATGTGGATTTGCGACTACTTCATGTTTAAGCTAATGGATGTTTCGAATTGTGAATCGTGTAATGGTCAAATAGTTTTCTGGCTCTGATAATACTTGCTTTGATGACTCACAAAACTCAATTCATAGAGAGAGTGTGGTCAGACAAATTTGGCAGATTTCTTCACTCTAATTATGAAAGCGACATGATTTTTTGTCCTGCTAATCTAAAAATCCAAAAAACCTAACTCGACTACAATCAACGTTTGCTTGCCTTTTCTTCGGAGATACAGCAGTTCAGCCTAGATAGCGTTTTTGACAATGATCTTATGACTGATGAGAAAACATAGGTTCTTCTTAAATCGTAATGACGGGTTTGACTGCGGTCCTCGCGAACACAGGAGCATGCACTCATACAAAGAGGCATCACCCCAACGCTCAGCTCAGTCACTTTCAGTATCTAAATACTATTATATATATAAGCGAAAAAAGCATTTGAGTAGAGCGGAAAATCCAGAAAATGCGATTGCTAGAAGTGCGTGCGTGTTGCGCGCGGTCGCGCCATCGTCACGACTGAATGCCTTATACCAGGGCTCGATTTTCTATGCCTATGAATGTGGACATAATTATGAAAGCTTTCCTTGAATTCCTTCGTGATGCATAAATTGAACATATAGTGACCACATAGAGTCAGTTGGGATCAATCCGGCAAGTCGTTTTAATATCTTGTTAGTCAGAAGCACTAGAAGTATACTAATCGACAGGACTCAAAGCTTCCTGCTTGAATTGTTCCGATGACCATCAAAGTATTTTGATATGGCACATAATGCAACTCTCTACCTTCTCATCCTACTCATCGTCAGTGATGAGTAGGATATACTTATACCCAAAAGATCAAGAAGCGGTAAACACAAAATAAACTGATCATTCTAAGTTTCAGGCTTCCTCCAAAGAGCGAACAAAACAATTTCTGGCGAAGCTTCGAGCTCAAAAAGAAACATGCTGCACCCAAATAAACATCCAAATAAAGTATTCTCCTGAGTATTCTCGATCACTCACTTGGTATGTCTTCTGTGCATACGCACAGCCCCTTAGCCTTCTCACAAGATGATTCTGGATACGTGGTTCAGTCTGCAGGCTTCTTACATGGAGTTCCATTCTCATAAATGCCCTGACCCCTAATTGGTTTACTGAACGGAACAATCACTG